GTAGGGAAACTACGGCGACATATCGGAGCGAAAAGCTCTTAGGAAGAAACTGGGGTGCAAGTCGTTCAAGTGGTACCTGGACAACGTTTACCCGGAACTCTTCATTCCGGGCGAGGCAGTCGCCTCTGGAGAGGTAAGACTATTCCACATTCTCCTCTTGAACGCTTTTTTTTAGCTGCTGACATTACGCGGCCCGAGAAATACTACCAACCGGAATGAAGGAAGAGAAAGCGGAAACGATGAGGGAACGACCGGTTCCATCTTTAACGACATTGCCGTGGCTTTGATCCATCAAGGTGTCGGGTTATAACATTCGAAGGCTCTTTGTGAAAGGAAATGTAGTCAGTTAGATAGATAGAGTCATCAAAAAAGAGTCAAATTATTCTTCTTTTTTTGTTTTGTTTTTTATATAAGCTACGAATATCTTGTTCACCGTGATATTTGTTGTTATAGTAATACTTTTGATACATGATAAAAAAATGAAATTCTTTACCTCATTATATCTTTTTAATTAACTTTTTGTTAAAAAAAAAATGTTTAAGTAAGAAGGAATTTCGACAAATTCAGCTTAAATATTATAAAGCGGTAAAATCTTGTTCTTCGATTAATTAATACATTTCCTCGAGTTTGAATATTAGCAGTAAGAGGCGTTGATCGATGTCGACGATCTCATGACACTGGAAACATGCCGCTTTGATTGCGAAACAATGTGAATCGTGGTTGGGGCAATTGCGATCGGATTGCGGATGAAGGCTTGTCCGATATCTAATCGGAAATCGATTCCCACAGATCGATATTATAGATTCTTAGGCTACGTAGTATAGCAGGTTTTGCCAATGCAACTTGATTACAAAGCAAACGCCTTTACAGAAGAAGTTGTCTTTCGTTCCTCTGTAAAAGCAATCCGGAAATTTTTCTTCGAACATGTCCATCGCACCTGATCTTTTCATGTTGATGTTAAACATTAAATGTTTTGTTTTAGAAAAATAGGATTCAAAGTTAAATATGATAAATGAGAAATTAAAAAACTAACGAAAAACTAATAAGCTTTTTATAAACTCCTTTAATTGAAACAAATTAGAAAAATATAAAATTAATAACGTTTAGTACAGGCTATAGGATTCAACGCTGGTTATTAATTAGCGCAAGAATCTTCTTAATATTAAATATCTATAAACCTTGGACGTTTGAAACTCATAGTTTGAATCTTCTTCAGCGATATTTCCCCCTAACGCAGCAATTCGAATATTGCATTGCAAAATAGTATCTTCAAGTTTTTCCTCTCAAAATTAATAAGCTGATTGGTGATGAAAACTTAAGCTCACAAAGTCGACGCCTCTACATTGAACAATATATCGTATGCCAAATTTTGTGCAGAATTAATATGTTAAAAATTTAGTCAAAAAGTTAAAACAAGAATTGAAAGAAAAATTTGTGTCATGTCATTTCGACAGTTGATTGAATAATAATGATCACATTAAAAGTAGAATAAGCGGAAAATGATCAAACATCTAAGTTTAATCAGACATTTCATACATTTTCATTGATAAAAGTAATTATATCTTCATATCATGAAATGTGATTAAATTATTTTATTAAATCTCTCTCTCTCTCTCTCCCTCTCTCTCCTTAATCGCTAATTTTATTTTCCAAGTAGAAAGAAATATATTATTCTAATCGATCTAAATTTTTTTTAATACTACTGAATGAAGGCAAGAATAATAGACAAGATATCTAGTCACAAAACTTTATTAATTAATTAGGAACCGAATCTTTTTCGATGCTGCATTACACTATGATAGATTTCACGATGATGCCGGTTGTCGAGCTCCATATTCCAGGACTCATTGATATACTGTGAAAGAGGAGCGAGAAAAGAAGGAGAAACGGGAATGCAGTAGCAAAAGCGCAGTTGTATCCCGATGCGCGCGAAATTTCAAGCGGAGCTGTCTTTTTTTTCCCCGTAACCCTCGTTTTGCTGTAAAAAAAAAAACGTGCGCATAAATATCGAGCAGAGGCGACGAGCGACAGACTCGTCAAAGCTACACGCGCGGTACACGCGAGCCATCCGTGCGAACCCGTCACGACTGATAGTGCATTAATATCGCTCGGACGCGCGATTCATGGCAAACGATCAATCACGCGGAGATTTATTTCCGTTGTGTTGTTCCTCCCTTTTCTTCCTCGCCCCTTCGTTCTTCTCTTCCTCCTTTTCCTGTATTCCGTCTTGGTATATCGGTAATTACGGAATGATTGTCAAATCTCGTTGCGGTTGCAACGAGACGATGTTGTCACCGTTGGATTATTCACAGAGACACGGGGTAATCCAAATCGTGAAAAATACAAATCGTCATGAAATATAAATGAAATAACATGCAAGAGAACGAGAAAAATAGAACAGGAACGTAAATTCTTGCCTGCTTTATTAAGTTCAATGCCAGCGAAAAACTTATAAATTTGTATGTCGAAATCGGTCTGCTCTCGTCACAAATGTAGAAATTTATTCGCGATATCGCACCATTTATCCACGTTTGATTTATTCACGGCTGTTTCCAGTTCCAGTAACCGCTTCTGCGCGTTTAATCAATCTTTTATCGGCGTCTCGTCGCCGCCAATATTGTTGACGTGTTTTATTAATCAATTCGTTTCGATATGTACGCGATTCGAGGCACAGACTGTTAGTTATTTCACAATTTATTTTCACCGCGTTAGCTACCCGCGTCACTCCGTTCCGCTGCATTCGTAATTGCAAAATGATTGCAACCGTTATCGAGGGATAAATCCGCCTTCCCAGCTTGGGATGGGGTACCTTGCATTTCCATGCGGATCGTTACACGTTACTCTCTTCACATGCAGCGTGCCGCTCCGTGACAAAGTCACGGTACGTAGGCACCGGTATTAACGACGTTGCACCGACGGATAAATTGCAGCGTCACGCGACACGAATATTTCATACTTCATCATTCTTCCTCTCTCACTTTCCTTCCAATTTCCTTTTGTTCCTTTAATTTTATCATAAGCCAACAGTGCATTAACCCAGCAACCGGTGCGCCGGTGTTTAACACAATGTTCAACGCAGTCGCGAAGAAAGTAAAACGCTTGTAGCGTAAAGCCTTTTTTTCCCTCGGAGTTTTTGTTCTCGGAGAAAATCCGAACCTAGGAAATGGAAACGTGTCACCTCGAGAATTTAGCAAAAATATGAAATATATTTATTCACATTTATTTATCTAAGATTATCTAATATTACGTCGGTTACGATCAAATGATATTACTCATCGTATCACCCATACTGTTATAAAGTCTAATTTTGTTAAATTGATTCATCACATAATTCTGATCATCCCTCTCATTTACTATGTAACGATAATATATAACTTGAACGTTTTGCGCATAGATATTTCATTGTGTTTTGCAACACGACATTCGGTTACGTTGTCGATTAATCGTGTTATTGAATAATGCATCCTATCATCCATCCCCGCCTATTTTCAACCCTATGTAGAGAATCGTAGCGTTTCCCTGGCGGGGGGTTAAACCTCGGCTTGCATTACAGGCGTCACAGTGTCACGCGACTCAAATATTTCGTGCTCGTGCCCATCCCCCTTACTCTCATTTATCTCTGTCTACCCTCCGCGCGCGCTCTTTCTCACCTCGGCCGTCTCTTTTTCACGCCCGGTCTCGGCACGTCTCGTTATCTTCACACTTCACTTGAATTTCTCGTATCAGGATCATCTTCGTCCTCCGCGCCTATCTCCGCGCACGCCGTGTAAGATAACCGGGCATACTAAAGTTCGCCGTACCGGAAATTCTGAGTAAGTTTCGAGCGCGCGTCTCGTTGCTCCCTTATCAGGGAAATATTTTAGCTTTTAATAATACCGAAAGCTATTAGGGACGTGTGTCGTCCGGTGATAAATATATCGTTTTATAGAACTTGATAGAAGATTTACATAATTTACGAAATAATTTTATTTACGACAACTACGATTCGAAGGCAGAAATTAATTGATATCATACAAAAAAATGGAAATGTATTTAACTCTAATTTTTACAAGCATATATATATGTATATATGTCGAAAAAAATATATACATATCGTACACTTCATGCTATGAAAATAAAAATAGACGGAATTTTTAGAATTAAATATATTTCTACTTTTGAGGAATATGTGTGTTAATAAAGTTATAAATGTCGCTACTTTTATATAAACATTCTTGGAAGAAATGAAGAAACATGTGTGCATCGATAGAATTAAAATATTTTAAATTTTAAATTTAAAAGTAAAAATAGAAATTAAAAATATTTTAAATATCGCACATACATACCAATTCTCCAATACCATTTCTTCCAAGATACAGGGTTGGCCATATTCGACGGAAAGATGTTTTTTTTTTCAATCATGGGAAACGTCGTTACTCGAGCTAACATCTCTGTCAAAAGTTACAGTGTTTGCCAGATCTTTCCGTCGAATATGGCCAACCCTGTATATATCTATATTTAGAAAATAGCGACACTTACAGCTGATTTTTTTCGATACATTAATCTTTACTTACACTTAACGTATATCTATTTTTGCACAGAAAGACAATGAAAAAATTATGTGTTTAGCTAAATTTAAATTTTTTACTCCTCAACTTCTCTGCCATATTTGTAAAAATGAAGCGCATGAAATCCGACATGAAACTCTTGATTTTATTACTGCAAATTATATAGATAACATATTATAGTAAACTTAGGACTAAACTTTGGATAGGAGATTTATTTCTCTCGTTCATCATACTATCTAACTAATTTTCATCACACTATCGAGAAATTAAGAAATCGACAGTTATGTATACGTTTCTGTATTTCATTGCATTTCATTTTACGTATAGTATGTTTGTTGAGGATGAAATAGCATTGAGATGTATGCTCGCATAGTGTTTCGTACGCACGTATTCATGCGCACAAATTGTGGCACTCCGTCGCGTTGTTTGCGAGACAAAAGCCACTGGTCATGGCACCGCTGGTTCTCGCGAATCACAATTTCACGGCGCTGCCGACATGACACACGGTATGTACACGCGTTCCGCCGTGTGAAGGCAATATTCCGATCGAACATGATAATAAAAAGCAACGGAATTCGAAATAGTTCGGGAGTTCGAAATACTATCGACCAATCCCCTTGTTCTCCACCGCTTTTTACTTCCCTTGTCTTCTCTCTGTCTACCCTGTCGTTTGTTGCGATCCACTCACGTTTTCCCTTGGATAAGGCAAAGAATGCATTTCACTCTTTCTTCCGCCTTTCTTTTCTTCCTCTGTCCAAACGCACTGACACTGGCATTTACGAGTGGGTGGAATAGGCAAACTAAAACGGAGCATCGCGGAAAAAGAAGGAATATATAAAGGATGGGCGCGCATTTTCGCGAAGTAGCATTTACGTGGTCGCGCACTTTGGAATGCGATCCATGCCACACACGAAATAACAATTTCGTCGTTTAAGTTGCACGGCGTGAACCGGCAGAACTCGTTTTTTGTCAATCCTAGATTATCCGCACGCAATCATTTGTTCTTCCAAATTGTTACTATGTGTTGTCGAGAATATCGAGATGTTTGTTCCAAAAAATAGGAGATACGTATTCACGCGTAAGCTTATTTTCTTGTAACATACGTACGATCTTGGATAGTAGACTCATCTCTGTCTTTATTTTAATACACGTAAACTCAAAAAGATTCTCAAATTTTACATAATTTATTAAATTAATCACTAATCTAACATGAATCTTTAAATTTGAAAGTTTTAATAATTTCTTTTAATATTAAAATGCCTGCAAAACATTTTATCATAATTTATACATAACGCTGACAAATAATCAATACTACGTAGAACCAGTATTTCTGCAATATGCTTCTAGCTAAATAAATTCGACTTATTTAAAAAATTCCAGATTCTTTAAAACAACAATTTCGAAATCTGAAATTTTTATAACAATTGCCGTTTTCGATTGCATTTCGAAATGCAATCGGCAATATCACAATAACAGAATTTACGTGCGACAAGGATTTTGGACTTTATTGTCGCATTGCACACAAAATAACAATTTCGTTCGAGGCGAAACTTATATTCCCACTGTCTTCCGTCCGAATCTCTCTCTCTCTCTCTCCCTCTCCCCCTCTCCTTTTTACTTTTTATTTGCTTTCGCAGAACCGGCTAAATCACGCTCGACCTTCCTATCGTAAGGGAGGAAGAGGGATGACTGGATTTATAGTTCACACGGTTCTACGACGGTCCAGAAATCGTACACGACGTGAATAATTTCGAATGTGCACGTGTTTCTACGTACGTGCAGGGGAGGGCGTATATTTCTCCGGGGGTATACCACGATTTTTGAGTCGTTCTACGCGAACTGCATGGATTTCCTATGCAAAACCTCATGGAATGATAAAAACGCAATGCAGAACGCGATTTTGTTTAACCCTTACCCTAATCTTGCATCGATCCCACGTCCTACGATATGATTTTTAATAAAACATTTGTAATATCTTTGAATGCAGTGCTTGTTACATGTACAGGAATCAGAGTCGTTGAACCGGCTTTTTATCCTATGAGAAAATAATTGACTGCACACGTTATAATTCAATTAGGTATGAAGTCGATAATTTTCTCATAGGGTAAAAAGTTGATTCAACAACTCTGATTCATCCTGTATAATCTTTCTAGAAATATTCTTGAAAAATCACTGTTAACATTAATAAATTTTTTCTCATACGTACGAGTGAATGCAGAGATTTACCGGGGAAAAATGAAGGAGACACGTTCTTCTTCGGATTATAAAATAATGAGGTATGAAATTCAAAAAATGTCCGAAATACGTGACTTTCCGCGGTATTATATTATTTCGAGCTCTCCAACTCTCTGCAGAGTTAGGATCGTAAAGTTGTCTAAATACCAGATCACATTTCTCATTGAGTTCACTAAGAGCCTTCGAGCTACCTTTAATAATGCCAGCGGAGCAGGAGCTTTGAAAATTTTATCGACCTCCAGGATACCCTGGTTATAAATCACGAGTTTTTATTCCAGTCGACCGACGATGAGGACGCCGACGACGAGGACAACTCCTACGAGGAATATAGACACAGGGGTGGGGCGGGATAGAGGAAGGGAAGGGAATAAAGATGTTCACGTTGAAACTGCAACGACCACAGAATTCTTGCATGCAGTGAAATCAGGACTGCTGACCGAGCGCCGTAACTGAATGCACCTGCTGTTACACGCAGGCACATGTGCACACACGCACACGCACACACACATTTCCACATACACACACACACACACACACATGCAACACGCACCACACGTATATACATCGTATGGTTCAGTCGTGAACACACGCGTCGGACCGAGCGAAATACGAGCAGACCTCATTTTCAATTTGTTTCCGTCTATTTGAAAAATGGAGAACGCAATCCGCGGTCTACGCGGTCCTCGCTTTGCCAGACATGCATACCGCAGAATCTGTGCATGAAAAAAAAAAAGAATCATTGCGCAACGAGGAGCGTGACTTTTCTGCCTTTTTATACTCTGTTTCAGAATTCTCGCGAGAGATTGAGTCAACGAATCTCGTTACCAGAAATACAAAAACATGGATTTATTAATCTAATTATTACATTATTTTACAGATATAAAGCATATAAAAGCGGCGTGTGTGTTATTATAATCTGATTTTAATAAGGCAGAGCGTCAACGATTTTTGCATCGACATTTCGAACTGAATACTCATTCGCATTTAATTCGATCGAGAATAATTTTCCATTTTAATTCCAAAGTTTCACGATGAAATGTCAAGTCGAGGAAATAACAAAAATATTAAACAGAAATGTCGAAATGGCACATCGTTGACGTTACTTTCTTTCTCAGTAATCTGTTTATTAATATGTACATATATTCTTGGGTATTACTAACGGTGCGACGGATACACGCTAATGTACGAAAAAATTACTAACAACAAACAGGTCCGAAACCTCGGCGAAGGCGGTAACACCTGTCTGGACTCGCCCGCTCGCAAGGCCGATTTGCACAAACCGTGCGGACTGTATCCCTGTCATCGACAGGGTGGAAATCAGGTACAATAGACATCCTCCTGAAAAATTTCCTTCACCACAAAACACATTGTCCCATGAAATGCTTGTCCATGCTTGATGTGTGCAACTGTTGTCCTCAAAGTTCAAAACGGAAACACGATTTTTGTTGAATTTCATTTGATTTTTACATTCTGCTATGAAGCTGTTTCCACGCTGTCACTGGCGTTTGCAAGTATTATACATAGGTACGAATTTGTGACTATATTTCGAGACGTTTACCGTTTGTTACGATAGTATATCCACTGTAGAATAACGTATTTTATTCACAGTGTCTAAATTGATAATACGTACGTAATAGAAATTAAAGATTCTGTGAGTAATCAAATTTCGGTCATTTGATTTATAAATTGAATTGTAGTATAAATCAATTTATAAATCAAAGAATTTAGTATGTATGCGACCGGTGTGATGAACTATATTGATTGATGGCAATCAATTGTTCTGCTACTCGACGTACAAAATGACAATTGAAAAGTTGCTAAAATTAAATAGTTGTTATTTTGTTAACAAATGAATAGAAGAGAAAGAAAATAAAATGAATATCACTTTGAGAAATTTATTATTTTGATTAGGTAGGCAAAAATCTATATTTCTAAATTGTACAATATAAGTAGTTATAAATCAACATTATAAAAAAAACTTGGCTTTCTATGACTCACTATTAGTAATATATTTAGAATATATTATTGCTACGAGCAGCATGAAAGTTTATCTAAAATGCTTTGAAGGCAAAATTATTAATATTAGCAAGTGCATTGATAATTTTTAAAAGTGTCTCGATTAATTGTTTTTTATCAAGTTCAAATAATTATTATTTTAAAAACACATGTTTTATATATACGTTAACTAAACGAACTGTTGGCTTTCTTATAATTTTTGTATTTTTAATACATGTTATCACATACGTTCCTTTTACACTATTTAATAAAAATGCTTCTTCTACAGTACAGTATTTAATTCATTCTGTTTTATTCGCTTTTATCTTTTTTACTACAAAATAATAGCTATTTAGTTTCTGCAAAATTTTCCAATTGTCTTGTATGAACTGATTGTTTTGGCTTTCAGCCACGGAACAACGATAGCTCCTGTTAGTCACTGCGAACCGCCGGTATTTAGTTTAATTATTATCGTATAATCCTGCGTGAATAAACAACGTACACGGATTGAAATCGTTTCGAAATGTGCGTCTCGTAATTCCACTGCGAAGCTAATTGTAGCTACATACCAAATTACTAGAAAATCGAGTTTCCGTTTCATTGGCGATACATATCGATCCATTATCATTTCCCCAACGACGGCCGAGTGCCTAATCGCACCCGCGCTTGTTCATTCAATGCCATGTGTGTTCGCGCTTCCGGCTGCTTGGATATTCTCGAACGTGCGCTGTCGCACAAAATGCTGGTGGATGAACGAGTCTTTCACGTTCCCAGAGTAACCGTGTGAATTTCTCTTGAATTCTAACGCAGATACGACAAGTTACTAGCGGAATGTGTATAGATTCATCAGGGAAAATCGAAGACCTACATCAGCCAGTGGGCATGTATCCCTGTCACCGTCAAGGCGGCAATCAGGTACACATTCGCGAACCCGTCAATTTTCAGCAAATCTTAAACAATACTAAGCTGAGTTGAAAACGATTTGTGACTAACGATCTAACGATTCAACGGACATTCATGATATCACCGATCGAAGCTTTCCTAATCGTTCGATAGATGGATGGCAGGCATATTTCTGATCTAATATCTGGTTTCGGGGGTTGTAAATCTACGCGACTTGTAAAAATAATTGATCCTTGGAACGCATGTGCGATCGCGTGCATGCTAACCTGGCCACTAATCGCCCTGCGTTTCGACGCGATTAGTGGCATCGCTAAATCTGGTGCAGGTGCTCATCAATCCATGTCTCTACTGCCTCTCCGGTAAGATGACCCCAATTGCTGCCTTTTGCCACGATTTCTTACCATGTTATCATCATTTCTCACATTGATATAGTAGACTTAGATTTAATCATCGACTTGGCTCCTCCCACGTACAAGAGTGAGAATATCAAAGTGCAAATATCGTCTAAATATCGCATGGACTTGAACATTTTTACAATTCTATCCATCCTTTTCATCTTTTCACAAATGTACATTTCATCTTTCGTACGTGTGTCGTACAATATTTTATCGCACGCAACTTTCAACTCTGAAAACGAAGGCTCGGTAATTGGTTTGATAAAAATAAATCCGAATATAAAAATGTAAACTGTTCATCACGGTTTTCGTGTCTCTTTTTCTCTTACCTACGTCGATGACAAACGGCAGCGGCAATTTCATCAACGACCTACCTCCGTTCATTTATTAGCGAGCTTACGCTTGTCACTCGACGGAATCGAGCGTAACCATGTAAATCCGTGCTTTATCTCGTTTCTTGCACTCGTTCGGTCGATCGCGCGGTCTGTTATTAGAGCTCCCACACGAAACACGCGCACGCGTGCGTAGGTATTTCCGTATTTCCGTATTTCCGTATTTCCTGTCTTTCACGTACAAGCACGTATATATACGTGTACGCGAATACCGAAACGCCCGGCGTTTAACAACCGTGGCGACCGGTTACAACCAAAAACACAATCAGTCGGCGGTGCTTGCTTAGCCCGGTAAAGCGCTGCTTTAATTTAGCTGTTTGCCCTCGCAATTAAGCCGCGGTTTCACGGCAATTACGCTTTCGGTCGTCGCCCGCGTGACACTGATAAAGTCACGACTCTCTGTGTTACGTGGGGGAAAAGGGACGCAGCGCTGGGATGCACATCGGCGATTCGGGATCAGTCGTGAGCGCGGATGATGGAAGATGAATAATCGTATCATCGGATGGAAGGCGAGTGCATCGCGAGAGATAGCCGTTGCGGTCGCCGGATGGTCAGTTTACACACACACACACACATACTACAATGTATATATCTCCTCCCCCCCTTCTCTCTCTCTCTCTCTCTGTATACATAGAATTATCATCATGCTCAGGAATCATGATATAACATCGCTATCCCGCTGTAATCACACTATATATTGCTGAATACAATGCGCACACCGATAACGCGAAATCCTATCGCCGTTGGCAATTTTTCAATTTTCTTTTTCTTTTTCTTTTATCACAACGTGCGAAAAGTAAGTGAGCGGTTAGAGAAATCGCATCAGAGATAAGCATGCGAGATGGACGTAGCAATGTGCGTTAGATAACACTTGCATTATATGTACTTCGGGCAACGCAACATAATATACTCTGATTTGAGTGAGAGTTTCAGGCAGAATGGAACGCGGGTCGTGCATGGCTAACGACGCTTGATGATACATGTGTGCGGTGAATGCTTGCTTCTCGTTATCCCCCGTACCCACTATCCCCTAATTATACTTGTAAAGCACTTCAAAACAACTATATTGTCGACCCGACGGTTCTGACAGCCGCAGTTCCAATTCACAGTCCGCGCTCGTTCATTGTATTAAATTAGTGATAATTATGATCGCGCGACATACATGCAGTATGCGTATATGCAGATCCGCGACATGCGCCGTTATTTTTTTCAGTTATCGCGTTATTATCCGCCTCGTGTTTTTTTTTTTTTTTTTTTTTCTAAATGTTTTCCCTGAAACGAACTGTCGTGACTTCAACGAGCGTCTGAATCTCGCTTCGGCGATCGACACGGTGAGTTAGAATCGCGCAAAGAATATTTCATGAGCAACACGTACGGCTCGAGGCTTGGCGTACGCTTGGCGCTCGCTGTCCATTCCAGGCAGTTGGAATTGCACAAACAACGACGATCGGAGCCGGCGCGGCGTCCGGTTAGATAAGCGCAATTTCGAGGGCCACCGGATTCCATTATCGGGCGACCGGCGCTCATTACGAGAGCCGGATCGCTTTGACGCGCTTCCGCCGCGCCGCACGCGTTCACCTTCGTGCAAACCCGTGCAAACCTGCACATTGCCCGCGGTAAATAACCGTTGGTCGCATACGGCACGGCACGGCATGGCACGGCACGGCACGGCACGGCACACGTTCGTTAGCTCGCTCGCGCACGATCGCCCGGGACAAGTTATTTTACAAGCGGCGCGTGCAATCGATCGGTCGGCAGCACCGCGAAAATCCGCGTCTACCCGCGGTAGTCGTGCTCATGATAATACACCGGTACAGTGAATACGCTACGCTTATATTTTCACATCCCGCGAGCACGCAATGCGACAGATTAAATGCGCGGAACGAACGATTTTACGTTTTTGCATTATCGCGGTTTACGTTTTTGCCCATATCTCTGATTTTGTGAATATTATTGTTTGATCGGAGACGAATTGTGTTGAAACAGGCACGAGCGCTTTGTAAACCGTAGAGAGATGAATTCATACATATTAACTATTGAAAATTTTATCCGAATTCTTTTACATTTTTACAATAACAAAATATCCCCGTGTGTTAATGTGAATTTTATTAAAAGCAATTCTTTATTCCCCGATTGATTGTTCATGCAAAATTTTGTTTTTGTTTTTTTTTTTGTTTCTTTTTCCCGTGGCGGCTGTTAAAATCTCGTTGGTCGTAGACGAGGCTGCAATTTTTGGAAATATTAATCTCAAGATTGTCTGTCGCAGTACTGGATGCTCAGCAAGACGGGCGAAATCCGTCGAGACGAGTCGTGCTTGGACTACAGCGGGAGCGACGTTATTCTCTATCCTTGTCATGGCAGTAAAGGAAATCAACAATGGATCTACAATCCTCAGGTAACCGTTCTCGAAACATTCTTTTAGCTCGCAAGAATTTTTACATTTAAATTAATCTCTCTTTAAACTGCTCTTCGAAGGAAAACTGGAATCATCTCATACTTTTGATTTTCAGACTAATCATATCAGGCACGGTAGCAGCGACAAATGTCTAGCGATTACAGAGAGCAAGCAGCAACTGGTGATGGAAGAATGCTCGTCCAATTCCCTGAGACAGCGATGGTCCTTCGAGAATTACGACCCATCGAAGCTGTGATACCGCGCCTTTTCGCGTCGTCATTCCCATAATCGCAATCACGCTTCTGATCGCGCCGGATCTTGGCTACCAGGGAAACGGTTCTCAATCGCCAAGACCCGCTTTGGTAGATAAATTTCGCGAATTCCGCAAGACATTGCGAAAATTCCTGCGGAACCGCTCGGAATCGCTTGATGGACCAGCTTAAACTCCACGCGTTTTCTCAAGGAACGAGAACGAAAGAGTCCATCATCGACTTCTCATCGACGAGCTTGAAATGTGTGAAACGAAAGATCGATCGATGCAACGAAACGTTTGCGAGAACAATATACTTTGAAAATTTTGTACTCGAGAAACTGCATTTAATTAGAATAAGTTCCGAGCACTGTATGGCGCTCGAATCGATTATGATTTGAGTTTCATATATTGATAGCCCTAAGTATTAAGAGTATTACGAGAGATTAGCTCGAACGTGATTGTGAACGAACGTGATTGTATCGACCATCGAAGTAGCTCTCGATCATCACTTTCGTTCATTGATCATTCGCGCTTCCATGAGGATCAAAAGGGAAGCGGAATGCTTGATATTGTCATAGAAACGACACATCGTGTCGATCTTAGCGAGCGAATCGTTAAGTATAACGAGTAGCGAATTATTTCCCTTTCTGTCTCTATATTACGGCAATTTCAAGAACGAACTGCAGAAATGTTTTCGACGAGTTTGAACGCGGCCGTTATTCTTTAGAAAAATCAAGTGCCAAATTTCAAATATTCCCATCTCAAGCTTGCTACAACCGAGGACAAACTCCTACAAAATAGCGAACCTACATTGCCGTTAATGAAAACACGTAGTGTTTGCGTGTACCGAATGACTTCGGAAGATTGTATTAGACGATATCTGCGCAATCGTGCCCTTCTGCTAACTCTTGGAGTGCCATGTGCGAGTTTGAGGGGAAAACGCGAAGAGAATTATAGCTCCCTTAATGCAAATTGCGTTTGAACAATTTGCATTGTTCTCATGCAACGGCTCATGAGATAGCATGCATCTTATGAGTAAAGATGGTTTACCTTCAAGTTATTCCCAATCACGCTTTTCTCAGTGTTCGAGAGAAATATTTCGAAAATGTATGCAATAACATCATTCACTAACGTCATTCTTCATATTAAAACATATTGCCAGACGTCAATCGGCAATTTGATTATCGATAGCATTCGTCGATCGTTCATAGTCTCTTTCTTGCTACCTCTTTGGAGGTGAGTTTTACATTCCAGATTCGCCGAGACGATGACGGTGATATTTCACGTGTAACAAAAAGAGAATATATGACATTTTCTTTTTAATTTTTAATTTAGATACTTGCGTAGATTTAATTAGAAACGCGTAAAGGAGGAGAGCGGTAAAACATTCCGGAGATGAATTGTTCGATTCTGTTTGTACAATACATTCGTGTAAGATACAATGTCTTGATGCCAGTTCAGAGAACGTAAGTACCGCCTAAGTAGATCTAAGAGAGTGTCATTAAGTGTATGAATATGTATGAATTATTAATCGTAAGCGGATCGTCTTCGCTTTCGACAACCGCGAACGATTCGCGATTCGTGAATCGGCGATTAGTTGGATGTGTAAATTCGCTAGGGAATACTTTATAAAAAGTACACTTTTATAAAGAAACATCGTTTCTTATAATTTTAGCTACATATCACTATACGAGCGCGGTCAAGAATCGACGCGCGTAATACAGTCTTCGTATACAAGTAAGATTTAAATCTAAAATACATTAACAAGTCTTTACTGTTAGTTACGTGTTTAAAAATTTATGACATGTTCGCCTGAAAATGGTTCTAATTTAGTGGTCTAACAATTTTATCCGTGAAGTTTTCTAGATATTCAAATTTGAAAATGATTTTTGCGTGCCAACAAAATCACAAATATCGTGTTACGTGTGCAGAAATGCATAATTATTAAATCGACGATTGAAACCAGGCATTGGCCTGTATCATCATTAATTCTTCTAAAGAATCATGTGATGCAATTTTATTCTTCTTTTTCTTTTCTTTGTTACATTTGAAAACATAATTGTAAAATTTCATATGTCGAAGAAACGTGTGGCGAAAGAAATTAAAATATCATGTACATGGAACTTTTTCTTGACGGAAATTGAGAAAAAACGTACATAGTTCTATTAACATCAGCTGAATAAAAGGTTTCAGATATTGCATCGGGAAAATTGCAGAGTTGGCGCGGCTGCACTTTTCGCGCTAGGTTTTGCGATTTTGCGTGTAATTAATCGTGGGCGTGCGAATGCGTTACATACGTTTAACTACGAAAAATAATTCGCAAAGAAGGAGAGAAAGGAAGTAGCGAGCGCTGACCCGCGTACGAATGCGTGCTTAGTTAGACACGACTAACTAGCGATTCTCATTTTAGGATTAATCGAGTTTCTCGAAGCCGCAGTTTTGCCAATGCGCGATACGAGATACATATTTGAATAGCTTAGGGAGTGTGATTGTGTGAGTCGCGGATAATCTCGCGGATAATGTGAGAATCCGCCTCGCGATTCATTCCTAATGGTACGACGCGAGCAAATGCGAACGCAAGAGTGCAGGTCGAAGACGTTTATACAGATTATATATACGACATTTTCTACATTTGGTAAGGACGTTGCATATCGTAAGGACGGAGACGATTGATAGTAATTATAAACGCGACTAACGCGCGACCGCCGAAAGAAAAAAGACCCATGTTTCTCATGCACGGACCCGTCGCGCATTTAATTAATATATCAAACGTGCCTTATTTCGTGTACATATGAATATTATTATCATTATTATATCATTATTACTACAAACCTCTATCATAACGTGCAAGTATTTGTGTTGAATAAATCGATGTTGTTTTATGTTACTAATAGTTTTTAGAAAACCCTTTGCCTCGTGTTCTCTTCTATTCTTAACTTAATATCTTAACCTTTAAGTAGGTAAGTAAAGTGCTCAGAACACTGTAAATAAATTTTATTTTTTCAAAATTATATTTTTTAATAGTAATATGTAAATTTACATTATTTATATTCTTATGGGATAGAGGAATGTAAAATAATGAACTTTAAGACTTCTGGGCAATTCTTTTCATTTTCCTTTTTCAGAATCAAGATGACTTTTTTTAAGATGACTACGCGTAGAGTGCTGTAGTCACCTACTTAAAGGTTAAATTAAAGTTTGCATTATAATATTTTTACTGTAATACTATATATCTGAATATGTGATCTGGAGGTGAACGACGAAATGTCTTTACACCGATGAACGTGAATACGCCAAGCGATATATTTTCGAAAGGAGTATAAATAGGACACTTTGTTACGGGCCTAGAACATCGTGTGAAAATGGAACATGACACGCTTTCGCTTAGCCCTGACCCATTTCTGGCCACCCACGAGTTTCCGGTGTTTCGAGGAGCAAGGTAAACGGCGGCCTCGCCAAGGATCAATAATGACGGAAAAATCTCGTGATGGAATCGCAGGACGAGGCAGCACCTGACGGTCTGGCAATTGAGGGGTGGAGACAAGAGCGACAATACGCATATAATTCATTACGCTTTATTTCAAAATACAACATGGGAATGGAAATGTTTTCCTGGATAATGAAGTTTCTAGTTCATTACGACCAATCGCTTCTACCTATCGAACCATTTACCAATTATCAAGGGGTTGTTACGCGAGCGAAAATGAAATCGTTCGTTATTCTCGCGCAGGCGTTCTTGTCGTCGCAGGAGGAGCACATTGCTGCACGAGAGACTCCACTCGAACAAATAGGGGATGAAAAGTCCTGCGAAGGGATCACTCGGCGCGATTTGGAGCTCAAATGTTTCGAATTATGTTTGTGTTTGAAAATAATTTAGCCTTTCTTCGTAAATGTTTTTTATAAAGAAAACTTGAATTTTTTTTTTTTTTTTGAATTAATTAACCATCACAAGTTATTTATTCACAAAATTCCAGAGTACTTTTACTCCTTAGTTGATATAAAAATATAATAGAAAATAAAAAGTGAAGCAGACAAACTAAAATGTATAATTATTTATGATTTGTAATTTATGAAAAGTAATTAGTATTGTATAAAATCTGCTTGTGTAATATGTATAATTTTATTTTATTTTATTTTATGCCATATATTAGGTGTTGGAATTAATTCGTAGCGTTTTACAAAGTATTTATAAGTTTTAAAAGTACTTTCATTAATGTATTTTTTAATGCTCATGTGAAATAAATAACATTCTTTCATTAAAAAACGCTACGAATTAATTCCAACACCTAATACAATATATTTTTATATAGATTAAATCTAGCTGTATATTTTATCAGATCGAATCCAAAGAGTTTTTCTCGTGTGTCTCGAGGTCGCATTGCAACTTGTTGCGATATTGATTAGAAGAGAAAGATAGCGGAACGCCACGAAGAAAAAGCTTTTTTAACAACATCAATGATTCCAATACATATTGCTAGATTGAGTTTAATCCGAATTCATTGCAGTAGTTTTATTAAAGTCAGAAACTTTCATCTTAGGACTTTTATATGTAACTGTTATAAAATTATTAATTTTCGATAAATTATGAAAACTATTATCCCAAAAGAGTTTAAAAGAATTGCAAAATAGGAAATAAAAATTACACATATTTTAAATTCTAGATGTTATTTATATCGTAGTATTACATTTTGCACAAAAAATGAATTATCACACGTTTTATAGAATATATATAAAATTGCAAAAAGTTTCAAAATTAAAATTTCTGGTCAGACTTTATCAACAAGTATATTGTCAACAATTAAGAACAATGACATTAGCGAAAGTGCAAGTCTATAACACATGACCTCGAAACTGAATACTCTCAAGCGATATTTAATCAATCGTTCGACCAAGGATATCCGTTTCGCTTGAAATTATTCTATCCGATAGGGAGAAGCTTCTCTGGGTCGAGCCGGCGTAGAAACGGGCGGCGTCGACGTTCCACATGACGCAGGCGCCACGACGCCTTTTCGACGCCTCGTCGACAGGAAGCTCTGCGTCTGTCCAGCTCTTTGTTCGTCCAGAGACTTCGCCCTGTGCTCCCTCCGACTGTGTATCCATTCACGAAAGCAACCCCCAACGCGTCCGGAATCCCTCGAGTCTTCACGAAGACAGCAGCCAGGACTGAGACGTTCACGCGCGTCGTTCTCTGCGGCAAGATCACCCCTCGTTCTCTTCCGCGGCGAATAAGGGCGGTGTTCGCTCGATCCGGACAGCTTCGTTGGAAACGCGCGTTGGAAACCATCGCGATCAATTCCGCGACGTCGATTGTATCCCGATATCGCGGATCTCTAGGTACTTGCCTCTAGGTCGAAGTGTTCGATAAATTTCGCCTGCAATTTGTATTAATTTTTATTTCACACTTTATCTTAACGCTGTCGAAATATAACCATTTACATTTTACATTTAAATATGCGAGAACTGTATTTGCGATTGTATTCCCGGTTTGCGTCAAATTAAGTTATTGTGTATATTGTGCTTAATTAATGTACATTATATACGTTTAAGAGAGAAAACGTAATAATCTTCTTAATAATTTAATTCTTATTGATTCCGTTTGTCTTTGCATATGCGTGCTCCACGATTAATATGTTAATAATTAATTGTTCTCGTTCTTCTTTTGCGCACTCGATTCAGCCAATATCGATTGATTTCTCCGACAATATTCAAGAAGAGAGTTAAAAGTGTTTTTTCGGGGCCAAAGCAGCCCGGCAAGCGAAGAGGCTCCGGGATCAAAGCAACAGGTAACACTTTATTTCATATTGAGACACTTTTCTATTTATTTCTTTCCCAACAATCATTGTCCTCTTCTTTTTATTCTCTGTACATGATTGTATCCTCTTGCACGTAATTATTTAGAGCATTTGATTGTTTACAACAAAGCGAAATCATCTGATAATTATTGAAAGCGAGGAAAACAAATTCAACTTTACAAATTGCTAAAATATAATACTTAAAACACAATTTTTTTTTAATTATTGCAGATTTAATAAAATTGCAAAACGCGCAGAATATAATTAATTAAGTAATTCATTATTAAATTATTAAAAAGAAAGGTCTTTTACGTAAAATGAATTAATTCTAATATTTCTTTGAATAATATCATAAATTGCTTTATTTATATTTTTTAAAACAAGACAATTACAATATACAAAAATAAATTCTAAAATAAATTCTGTATTTAGTATAACGAAGAGGAGATTGAAAAAAGTTACAGGATTTGAATAATTCTTTTTATACATGCATGTGTGCTCATTATTTATCTCGATTATTTTAAACGTAACGACAATGAACAACAGCAATTAAGTACGAAGCATTGATTATTGACAGGATTAATCAATGAAATTAAAGCATATCCGCATTACTTTTTAAATTTGGTAACAATTTTTATTTAGCAAGTAGATTAGTTACATTGTAGATAGTGTGATCCGTTGTAAGAAAAAGTATATCCTTCTATTATAATGTAAAGGAACGCTTTGTCAACAAGAGAGCTAACAGATTTTGCTTCTCGATAACGCCTGCACTATCCAAGCAAAATTTCTAAGAGAAGTGTTTATATAGAATTGTTGATAGTGCATATATTTAGCATAAAAGTGTTAGTACTATTACCTCATAACGAGAGAGAAAAAGGAAAGAGGTAGCAAAAATTATCTTTTAAATAATAGTATGTAGATGAAAGCGATGTTTTTCTTTATACAATCCCCTGCTGCGTATTAAAAGGCCATGATATTTTTATCTAATTATAAGCCTGCGCACTACTTGTGTACATAATAATTATTGAGCAATTTTTTTACGTTAGTCTTACAACAAATAAATAAATGTAAATAACATTGCATACACTAATACTTATCACGTTAGCCTTTACATTTATTATAAACGGAATCAAACAATTAAAATCAAAATTATAAATAAAGCAAGAAATAGAATTACAACAATTTATATCCTCATTCTATGTAAAATAAACAGCAGGAAGACATGGGCCCGATGCCGGAGGCTTCAGGATCTGGAATGACCGACGAGGATGATTACTCGACTTTCGAGAATAAAACCGGCCTGGCCGAAGACATGAAGTTTCTGGCGAGTATGCCAGAACTCTGCGACGTGACATTCCTCGTCGGTGACACCAGGGAGCCAGTTTGCGCCGTAAAAGCTGTGCTCGCGGCCAGAAGCAGGTTTGTATAAAAAAACATCTTTATATTAATACGCATGGAACAAACGAGTAAGACAAAGGTTTTCATCCTTTTCAAAATTTACAGAGTCTTCCATAAAATGCTGTATCAAACTCCAAGCCCGCAACGTAAAAAAGAACCGCCGGCGCGAGAAAACAAGATTCGGCTCTTTCTCAAGCGCAGCTCCGAGCCACTGTTAAATTTGCAGAACGCCGCGCAACAGGTACTTACCATGAAAGTTAATACATAATTTATCACTAACGAACTTGTCGCATTGACCAACAAAAAAGAATTAATACGGCGCAATATTAATAACGTATATCAGGTCGCAATGAAGAAGATATCAGATTTTTTTATCTAATTCTGATATTCTTTAAGCCAGCTCCTTTTCCAATTTTCCTTTGTGACAGAATCAATATATGCCGCGTATATATATCTCAATATAAAACAGAAAGAGACAATAAGCAATATATTATTATGTAAATAGCACATATATAAAATATATATAAACAATTTCTCAGACTAATTGTAAGGAGCGAACACGTTCGATATGCAAAACCCAACGATCGCTCGTGTTAATCTTATCTAATTTTAATTTAACGAAACTTATAGAACTGGATTTAGTTTGCTAATTAATGTAAAATAAGAAAATAGTTACACATATTTCTGTTAACCTAAATACAAATACCTTGTTAAAACGACAATCGTTTTTTTTTTTTTTTTGGGATACATTGCATATTTATCGTGGCCGTCGCTGATATGAATATTCCGCTTTTATCAGGATAGAAATAGTAAGTGTGCGTTTGTATGTGTCGTGTAGCGGTCAGGGTTCACGCAGCAACTGGCCCCCATCCAAGAGGTACTTTGAACGTCACTTTTACATAAAATTTTTTACATACAGATCGAAATCGTTTCCATCCCATATCTGACCCCCTTTTTCCCCCCCCCCCCCATATTTCTAATTGAGTACTCCTCTTTTTCTCTTCGCTAATTTTGCTCACTGCACTGTGATCATGACTTTGTCTCACGAAATCATTTAGAGGAGCTGTAGGAGACCACTTGAAATTTATGTATTGACATATCAATGTTTTTTTCGCTGCCTTGACTTTTTTACTTGGACAAACGTCTTCTTTTACCTTGTTATTCTTTTGCGCGTCGAAGAGAGATAGACTATTCTCCAGACACGCAAATATGTAATTAATTCATGCGATTATGGACTGAACTGTGCGCTAATTCTATATTTGAACTACTGCATGATCGATTCAATTGTTCTCGTAGTCGCCAAATCCATTATAGCTGTAGATTGGCACGATTACAGAATTCATTATTTCAACTGTTGTTGACTATGTTTACACGGCACTCTTAATCAGGTTTATTAATATCTATAGTTATATATGAGTGGGCGTGTGTGATGTGTGTGTGTGTGTGTGAACGCACGCGAAACTGGCCAATCACAGTCATTCCATTTTTCAGTGGAATAGCTAATTGATCAGTTTCATATGACTACAGTTGTTATCAAACCCGATTAAGAATATTATAAGTAAACGTAGTCATACTGACTTACATAATGGTAATTCAACCAAGCGAACAAGTTGTGATTATTAATATTAATGTAAATTTCAGCGTGCATCTTAAGACAAATTATAATAGGATGTTCTAAGTAAAACGCAAAAGATATAAGTTTATTTAGAAAATATTAACAGAGATGTAGTACTTGAATATGTTCGCTGGGTTATTATAGTTAGGCAATATATTCTCCTAATATGTTAGATGCACAATAGCTAAAATTTTGCACTAAACAAAATATTATTATGATGCCGATGTATCTCTTATCTAACATATCATCTCTCTTTCTTCATAATTAGTAAATTTGATTTACTATTGCGCTAGTCCTTACGGATTCCCATGCAAGTCGCTTAGCACGGGTATTCGATTTAAGCTTGAATTTGAATATCCTCATTTCTTCGTTTAGATGTTTGTATTTTACTTTTGTATCGTAGCCGCAATCACATCAGCATCATACGCTGATTATCGAGGAATTCGAGCCCGATGTCTTCCGGCAGCTGATCGAGTATATTCATACGGGATGTGTGACATTACAGCCTAGGACTTTGCTTGGTAATCAATTAATTATATAGTATCTCTAACAAGTCAATTAGGATGTCTATTATTTGCCGCATGGATTAATCATTAATCGACGAGTATATTTCCTGTCATTATATCTTATTCGACATTCGTGAGCTAAGCATATTAATATAAAGTAGAAGTTCATGAGATAATTTTATGTACTGTAAAAGACACATCAATCGTTTTATCGAATCTAATGAATGATTCAATTTCGATGGTTGATAATAATTTATGTCCTTATGTTAGGGGTAATGAACGCCGCCGATTATTACGGATTGGATGAACTCAGACGAGCCTGTGCAGGCTTCGTTCAATGTTGTATAACCGTTGATACGGTCTGCGCTTTGTTAGCATCAGCGGAGCGTTATATTCAGTATAAGTGCACGAAATCCTTGGTTCAAAAGGTAAAAGTTTTCGATACATTATGTTTTTAGTGCTTAATTTTAGTAATTAATTTAGTTAATTAATTTAAAATTAATACTAAACTCTTTGCGAAGGTACTAGAGTTCGTCGATGAGCATGGCAATGAAGTATTGAATTTAGGATCGTTCACATTACTACCGCAACACGTTGTTCGTTTGATTCTTGCCAGAGAAGAATTACGTGCAGATGAATTTACGAAATTTCAAGTAAGCTCGACACATGAATATGTCAACAATATTTATCCGACATTTTTCTGCATAACGTTTCTTCAAATTAACTTCTCGCTTACAGGCTGCATTAATGTGGAGTAAAAAGTATTGCGACAACAATCAAAATACACCGTTGAAAGATGTAATCGGTAACTTCATCGAATACATTCAATTTCACAAAATTCCAGCCACTGTATTGATGCAAGAAGTAAATCCTTTGGGACTGGTGCCACCGGAAATTATCATGAATGCGTTAGCTTATCAGGTGCGCGTTGCTTTTTCATATACTTCGTTTTAAAACGCAAAAAGGTGGTATTATTACGATATAGTTAGCATTATAAAACGTGTCCCACACGATTCCTTGCGACAGCGCCATCAGTTTCTTTATGAAAGAATTTGTTGCAGGCAGACCCAACCAGTGTCGACCCCAGAAAATTCTCTCCCCACAGAGTGAGGAGACAGGGTCGCAGCATGTCGGTCCAGTCGTCGCTGGATCCGTATGGCAGCATCACGACCTTGAGCTCGAGCGGCTCCGACGCCGGATCGGATCAGAAACAAAATTCTGGTAGCAACTAACCTCAGGCCACGGCCGCACTGATCGCGGCCGTTTCGGACGAGCCTCGACGAACCGAGGATATTTGTGGCCCCGACGAAGGAGCGGCGCCGACAGACGATGTTATTGCAGAAGAAAGAGAGCAGAAAGAAAAACAGCGACCGCAACAGCAACAACAGCGGCAGCAGCAAGAGCAACAGCAAGAATCTCAAGTTCAGGTTCACGCGGAACAGGAAGCGCCTCAATCGCAGCGTCAACCGCAGGAACAAGTGCAACAGAAACAGGAACAAGTGCAGCCACAACAAAAAGAGCCGGGTCATTTACAGCAGCAAGTCCGTCAGAAGATAGAGAAGGACAGGGAGCAACGAAAGCTTCAGCAAGAACAACAGCTATTGCAGCGTAAACTGGAACTGGAAGAGCAATTACGACGCAAGCTGGAGCGAGATGAAGAGGCATTGCAGCGAAAACTGGAACAAGAAGAAAAACCGTTGCCACAGAAGATGGAACATGAAACACGAAGGAAATTAGAAAAAGACAAAGAGGAACAGCAGCAAATTATGCGGTTGAAAAAGGAAACGGAGCAGCTGAAGAAAGAAGAAATGAAACGTTCGCCGAAAGCCGAACAGCGTGTGCAGCAACAGAAAAAGGTTGACGATAAGCAACCGCAACTGCCAAAGGCAGACGAACAACCGGAACTGCAACAGAAACGTAAACAGCTGCAAGAACCGCTGGATAAAAATGAGCGAGCGAAACTGCGCAAGCAAGGTGAGAAAATGGAGGTATCGCGTCAAGAGTCACTTGTGCAACAGCAAAAGATGGAAATAACAGTGCAAGAAGATCAAGAGGCACAGCGTCGGAAGGAGAAGCCGCAGTTGCCACAGCCTGGGGAATCGCAGCAGCAGCAGCAGCAGCAGCCGCAGCCGCAGCCGCACCAAGAACAGTCGGGAATTCGGCCACTCGAAGGAGTCAGTGGACTTTACATTAGGATAGTGCTGAGACACGAAGGTCGCGCGAATCTAGTCTGGCTATACAAAACACACATATTCTAAATTTCGATGATTCGCCTCGTCGCTTCCGTCTGAATGTCTCAAGCGACCTCGCAGCTATACGGCTCTACGACTTATCCATCCATGTTGAAAGGTATCGTGAATGCGAGATGTAATGCGTTAAGATGCATTACAGCGCTCCGCATATTCCGGGGTTACTTAATGTCTTAAGAGAGCATCGGCGTTTTCTTTAACATTCTAATGTCGACGCGTCAGAATATCAACTGGTGCATGTAATCAGCTTCTTCTCCACAAATGAAGCTTTAACGGTAACATCTTTGCGCCGCCACAATCTCGGTAATCTCGATATGCGCGTCGCCATTTCTAGGTATAATAAATCAGAGGATTCCGTTAGGGTTGATTGTCCATGATCGTGGAAGAAGACAATCGTACTCATGTTATTGTTGCAAGAGAAATATGTATTTGTTAAACGTAAATATGTGCATGTAAACAGAAATGTATCTGTCGCTTCGTTCGATAGGTTCATATCGTTCATGCTTTCTGTATCGTTCGATAGGTTCATATCGTTCAGTCCAATAAACGCATTGCGGACAGATAAGTAATATTAATGAATTAATTAAATAAGTGCAATTTAAAGATACAATTTCTTGTTTACGCGTAGTATTTATTATTTGCATTTTTATGATTACCCCACATAATTTATCTCGTGCAACTAATTATTTTTTGTAGTTTCTAATTTGTCATGAATTATATTTGCCGTAAACTTCATAATATTTTTTACTTTTATTCATAATCTTTGCTTCTTACCATTGAACTATTTCCATTATTAATCAACGAAACTGTATTGTCAAAAAAAAATTGACTTATATCGAACGAACGTAATTTTCGCTACGAGACGTAATGTGGTTATAGTAACAATTTCAGAGAGATACTATATACGCTTGTTAAAAATAGATCTTATATTATAGCCAAGAGAGACATGTAATATATATTCTATATGTTTCTGGATAATGGTTATTTGACAGTAATAGATGACTAGAGAGCCGATATTTTGTCATGAATGCTTCCCTGGATATTATTACATTCGATGCTAGACATATTTCTTCGTTCAGTTGCACCGTCAATTATCAGAAAACCGAAAATCTCAGCGAAGCTATGGTTCAACTAGTAACAGAAGTCTGAATACTCGCCAGATAAATTTCGCTGAAACGAATATTATTGCCGTAGTTTTTAACTATAATAATTGATGCATGCAGCTACAAAATAAGTTATATGTTACACTCCAATATCCGTTATAAATAAAAAACATGCACTAAAGTTTAGATACGTACGCGCGTTCTTAGTAACGTTAGATATCAGTCCGATAGAGATTACAGAGAAGCAGTTTAATTTTTAAACAGAGCTTAACGCATAGATCAAAACGTCAACAACAACTGAGCGTAAAACTAAAACACAGCTGTCACCTCTGATAATGTTTTTATTACTGTCGCATGTGCAGCTTATTTGCGTAGATGTGTCAAAGATATGTTCATAATTGTGAATATATTTACTTGTCTATGAACCGTTGTCTGTTGTGTGCAGCGACATTTCTATTGTTTTATACGTAAAATGTATGTACAAAATATATATATATATATATATATATATATGTATATATATATCGTTGAGCAGCCTAAATGGCTGGAATTCCTTATCACAATGTTAATCGATAATGCGATCGAGCTAAGCATAAATGGATAAAGTATGGCATAAAATATCATACTGAGATTCTTTCTTTTCATTTAAAGTAACTTCAATTAAAACTACTAATAACATGTTTACTGTCACCGACGCGCAGGCGCGTCTTTGATTTGCGCTTGTGTCTCTATTTTTAAGCGCTTAAAATATAAGCGCCGAAAGTTTTATACAACTACTCGCCTCACTAAAATCACTTTTTAAGAAAATTATGACGAAATGTTCCTGGCGAAATGTTCCAAAAATAAAATGAAAACATAGTGATAGTAAACGTGTTAATTCAATGATTTCTTTAGCAATTTTAGCTGTTCTGCTATTATTCATCTGGCTACTGCGTATTTTAATCAATTCAATATTATACTAGTCCGTTAGTCTTCCATCTATTCTTATTTTGAGAGGAAATACACAAGAATGAATTTTTCAATTTAATATAAATAACATCGTGGTAACTTTAGAAGTTTAAGTTTTCTTTACAACATAATTAAGTAATATTGTATTTACACGTCTGATTTTATACATATCCCTCCTCCTGAACGCATAGTTTATATAAAAAAGCGTACTGCATTTCTTCCGTTTGAAGATAAAACTATAACAGAAAGGAAAGAAGACAGACACTCACTCGTATAGAATTGTATAAAGTTCAAACCGTTAATTCGCTGGCGATCGGTATAACTCTACCTAAAAGTTCGATCTATTTACTGTGATATGCCGTAGCCAAATCAGTCCAACTATAAATAAAGAAAAATATGACGTCAAAAGTGAAGTTCTTCATTTTATCTCATGACTTGAAGAGTCTGCGGGAAATCATAATAAACATAAAAGATGGTAGGAAAAGGTAATTCAATTCTTAGAAATACAAAAGGTAGTGTTATATCAAAGGTAGCGTGTTACTTTGACGTTGATAGTTTTTAATTTTTTTACGTAAATGCAGATCTTGCGCACGTTCAACACCTGGATTACGTTATTCCATTCGTTCTACCGTATTTCGTGTGGGAAATGCCGAGCGGTCAACGCGGTGATGAATCGTAGACAAATCATCCCGAATAAAATAAATAGCGAAAGGTGTTACGCGCCAAAGAGATCGATGAATATTATCATGACATTTCGCACCCGTACCTCCGCCGACCTTGTTCTCCCTCCACGATCGAATCGACTCGTTACGAGCGTCAGATGGCAGGCGCATCACAAATAATTATCCTTCCAGCATCCTGGCTACGTTTATGACGTAAGATATCGCGAGATTTAGTCCGTACCGATCTATCAATCGTGCCATCTGCCATCGAGGCTGTTCCGTCGGTGTTAACGGCCTTTTAAAAAGGTTTGATTATATACCGAAATACCAATCGCAAGAGCAACAAGAAAAAAATATTATATTCAATTTTTCTTTTGAAAACATAACAATCATTTTACATCGGATTTTTAATTTGATATTTAAAACAGCTTGTGCTATGTATAAATACAAAAATTATCTATACATTTATTTAAGATGTAGATTATGACGAAGATAATAAAGAAAAAGTAATCCAATCATTGTTCAGTAAAGTCAATAAAATAAAAAATAAAAAGTGATATGTAAGCAATTTTTTATTAATATAATTAAATGTGATATATTTAAAATTATTAAGTTGTTATTATTATTATTATTATTATTATTGTTATAACATTATTAATATCCTTATTAATTGACAATTTAAAAAAATAAAAATAAATAATGTGATCGATAAAAATCAATACGTAATCGTTTAAAAGAATTCAAGCAATAATACAGTATAATATAATTTTGATAAATTATAAATTTACATTATTTTTAAATTTATTAATGTTTATTGACAGCGTAAACTAGTTCATAACAAATATTACACGTAACACAGTATTACGCCGACCACGTTACACATATATTAATATAATTAATGTCTGCGAATGTGTGAAAAATGCGATTATTAATACTCGCGTCGTGCGGGCATTAATTCACAAATAGACAGCCGTTCAACCGTAATGCAATTTTTAATCTTTAGTCTCAAAGACTGCAGTTCCGGATAATGACAAATATTTATTTAACTTATTTTTTTTAGAATTTTTTGCTATGGTATTTTAAATCGCAAATTTTGGGATACAAAATGGAATATACAAAAAACTATGTACAAAAGGAAACTTATGTAACTTGTTCCGTAAGTGCTGTTTATTTTCAATTTCTCAATAATTTCTCAATAATTTGCATGTACAGTTTATTTACAGTCTATTATGTAATTATTTCCGTACCCATATAAATTTTGAACCATAATAAGACTGCCACATGTGATGTCATCTTGAATATCAACTATTAATGTCAGTGCTTCAGAAAGAATGACAAATGAAGTACATAATACATATAACGATTACCAGTTTGCTCTATTAATATTAGTGACACTTATCATGAGTATTGTTCTATTTTTCTGATAAGTTCATTAATCATTCCGTATCAGCGAGGCAAGTTTTCTATAAATTGTCTAGTTATATCGGAAAAACTCAAACAATTATTGTCAGTTTTCAGGCTTGACAGCAGCATGATGCCTCTTTTTAGCCTTAGTTTCATATCTTTGTTGGTTTTTGCAATTGCCCATAAAAATCCGCATTATGTCGGTGATAGAACTTCCATGGTTCACTTATTCGAATGGAAATTCAGTGACATTGCCAAAGAATGTGAAGAGTTCCTCGGTCCGATGGGCTACGGTGGTGTACAAGTATGTATAATACGCTTTGTATGATGTCATAAGTAACGCTTGTATATAATATTATAATACAATTTCTTTACTTTAAATAATATTATTATAATATGATATTATTTATAATTATTTTAACTAAATTGAAAAATACTTTTTAAAATTAATTCTTAATTTAATTTAAGTTAACTCTAACTTAACTTTTAACTTTTAATCGTAAATTAGTTATATTACTTTTAATATAATTGAGTTAATTTTATAACCCATTATCTTTAATTTAACTCGATCAAGAAAAAGTTAACTTATCTAACTCTGTCATAAAGCAATTGGAACCAATTACGGTGCTGCATTACAGGATAGAAAAAGAAAAACTATCACATAATGCATATATTTATAATATTGTTATTATATTAAAGAATAAATTTATCAATTTTGTTCCTGCAAATTAACATTATACAAATATTATGTAAACTAACAATATACAAAGTGCAAGTAGAGTCAGTTCTGCATAGCACTAAATGCGTTATATATAAAAAATATAATGCGAAATGGATTTTTGTACTTTCGTAGGTTTCTCCCATAAATGAGAATCTTGTGATATACGGCAGA